AACATGTCAATAAAATCACACAATATCTCCACTTTATTGTAGGACCAGTTACAACTTAATATATATATACTCAGAGGTCTATTCCAAGAGACAGGGCAACATATTTCTTGACATTCTGCAATAAAAAACTTTCGTATCACAATTTTCGTATGTATAATGGAAGAAGAAAAGTATTGCACTTTGTCTCTTGATTTCCCCCCAGCCACATATTGGTATTACCGTATTATACTGTTATATCTCTATTTATTACCGTAGCTTAATTGTCCTCATAGGCTCATAGTTGTTTACAGGCTAAATAGCGCTTAAATACCTTATAGTTTCACTTGCTTTGCACTTCTATACCCTCACTTGTTTAGAAGGATGGCATTGAAGCACTTTTATAACCTAAGCTGTTTAAAATTGTTATGTCGATACCCTCTACGGTGAAGATGGCAAATTGTTAACCTAAATATTCCCGTATGACACTCACATGCCACTTGATTCCTGGTGTCGTACAAGAACATTCGGGGTGAAAATCTTCACGTCTGCACAACAACAGAGGGTACCAAGTGCTAATTTTGAACAGTTAGGGTATATAAATGCTGTGAAAAACAAGTGAGGGTACATAAGGGCAAAGTGAGTGAAATTATAAGGTATTTACGTGCTATCTTAGCCTTGTTTATATCTTAGCTTATTAATTTTGCCAATGCTTATACTAAGTTAATCCTGTAAGTTAAAACCATCAAGATGTAACTATCGACAGAAACCGTCGTCTTTACATCACATTGCAATCATTGCAATCGACTCCCCGCAACATTGATCTAATTAACTATCTAATGACAATGCAGAAGAGAGGGGGGGGGGGCGGGGCGGGGGCGGGGGGGGGGGGGGGCGGTGGAAAGAAATTTCTGCTAAAACCTAAAATCAAATCATCTAAATGTATGGAAAAAAAATAATCCACTACATAAACAACTTAAATTACAAGTATGTAAATATTTCCATAAGCTTTGACGAGAAATGCATAGAAAAAGCCCTCAAATATCAGAACAGGGGGTAAAAATTCTAGTAAAATAAAGAGGGGGTTGAGAGAAATTTACACTGAAATCGATGGGCAAAGATTAGGGTTTGGGCGCGAGCAAGAAAAAGGAGCGAGCTTTTCAGTATCGGTGATGCTCGAGTAACCGAATCCCCGGTGGAGCGGTGACCGGAGCAGGCGCAAGTCATCGCTAAGACGGGCTTCTAACGATAATGGGCCCATTTTAAATTGAAGTCCGTTAGTTTTCAGGGCCCAGAAATCTTCCTCACGGCCCGTTTATGGGCTTGAGCTGATTACAGTATCATTTTTAGATAAGCATCACCCCTTCCACCAAATTGTAAATTGGATTTTAGATAAGCATCAGTATCAAGAAGTGGAGCGTGTACAAAAAAATGTCACCTGTAAAATTCCTAACAAAAAAGTTGTCATGTGTCCCTCAACATATTAAAAGATGACATTATATACAAACTAATTCTATATTTTGAAGAATACTCATCAAATTAAAACTATTCATATCCATAATTAGAAACTCTTATTCATAATATTTAAAATTATAATAATCAAAGCAATATTAATTTTAACCAAATTATAACTATCCATTATTTAAAAAAATCTAAAAACAATTGTCATCAGGCCCTCTTTAATTTTTTAAAAGGGTAAAATTGCAATGAGCTCCCATAACTTTGGGCATTTAGCATTAAACCTTTAAAATATTTACAACCCTCACTAGACCTCTAGTAAGCCGTAAATAATAAAACAATTACAATTTTTTTCCTAAAAAATTATAAAATACAAATAGAACGGAGAAAATATGGTTACAAACGATGCCTTTTAAATTCCTAAAAGTTATAGAAAATCCCCTAAGAAATCAATATATTACAAACAAAACCCTCACAAATAAAACATTATATATTTGGCCCTAAAAATCCAAAATTACAAAAAAAAATAAAAATTATAAAAAAAAACCCTAAGAATTCTAAATTTATAAATGACCCCTCAAAAATTCATAAAATTACAAATAACCTCTTATAAAATCTAAAAACTACAAACAATTTCCTATAAAATCTAAAAATTCAAACAAAAACCCCTTAAGAATTCAACATTCAAACAAAAACCTAAAAATATGAAAATTACAAAAAAAATCATGAAAATAAAAAAAATGAAAATTAGCCCTTAAAAATATAAGTTGCAAATAGACCCTAAAAATTATGAAAAATTACAAATGAACACTTTAATTTAATGGAAAAAATTACAAAAAACTAAATAATTAAAAATTACAAACAACCTATGAAAAATTCAAAATAAAAGCAAACGCCTTCACAATCTAAAAAGTATAAACAACCTTTTGAAAATTTTGAAAATTACAGACAGACCTCTGGGAAAAACTAAAAAATTATAATCAGCCGTTATTAGGGGGGTTTCATCAAAAAATATTGGATGTTAAATGAAAAAAACTAAACCTTTTTGGGGTTTTCACCAAAATTTATCGGGGGTATTTTGATCATTTGACTACACATGAACTAACAATATTAATTTTAAGGATTTTCTAGCAAAAGTTATTGTGATTTTAGTAAAAGTTAAAGATACAGGGATTCAGTTCAAACACCTAAACTTACTTTGGGGTTTAGTAAAATTTATCGTTATTTTCATTTTCGTCTTTCTATGCATTCTTCCAAATTGTAGGTATTGTTAAATTTGTCCTAAATTATGATAATTGTAGATTTACCCCTCAAATTGTTTTATTCTCTCAACTTTACTTTTCACCTTCACTTTAGTAAAAAGAAAAGGATATGTACGTAGATCCACCCATTAGAGCATGAGAATAACACTTGTTGAGATAATGAGAAATTGGTTATTTTAAGCTTGATATTGGTAATGAAAAGAGTCGAACACATAATCCTCTTTAAGACGAGTGCGATTATTTTAATGCTTTAGTCAATAAAAATGTTTGTTCTTCGTAATTAAATAATAGTTTTTTTTCTTGTTGTTTATTAATATATGGATAATTTCATATCGAAAATATTCTAATTGACTTTAATCAGCATACAATTCAAGCCTGTTAACTCTTATCCATTTCGTTTATGAGTCAGATTGGATAGATGGATCCAATTATGAATCATACTCATTTTTTTTAGAATTATTTACATTCTGATATCTTGTTGTATGGTGTTATTATAGGGGTGATCCTTCAGTTTGTGAATCTACACGAGTAATTGTAATTACATGGATGACCCTAGAGTCCAGACGTAAAGCAACTCTCAGAATTACATGTGTAATTACAATCAGCAGTAACCTCAGTGTTACTCATGTAAATACACCGATTCCTGCAGGATCACAAGTGTAATCACAACATATCAAGTTACTTTGGCATCCTACGTAAAAACTATCATACATCTGTGCAGTGGTGGATCTACAACATTTTCAGTGGTGGTTCAAAATATACATTAATTTTTTTTCTCAAGTAATAGCGGAGGAGAAAAAATAATGAAGGAAGAGTTATTAAAGAGAAAAAAACATCATTTTTAAACAATGATTTGACTTATATATATATTTAAGAAGAAAGAAAACATTATTAGAAAGCTTTAAAGGAGTAAACTGAACAAAGAGATAAAAAAGAAAGGAAAAGATGAAGAAAAAATAAAGAGGTAAAAATGAAAGCATAAAATAGAAAAGTTTGATTAGAAAAAGAATGTTTCAAAGGCTGGAGGTTTCGAGGTAAAAATGAAAGCATAAAATAGAAAAGTTTGATTAGAAAAAGAATGTTTCAAAGGCTGGAGGTTTCGAACTCCAGACCTCTTAAAGACTTAATCTTAACACAACGTTATTAACCAGCTTCAGCGCCAATAGGCTATAGAGAACTTTTGCTTTTTTATTGATATGTGTAGTATATAATGTTTCTTGGAAATATGAGGTGGTTCAAGTGAACCACTTTGAACAAGGGTGGGTCCGCCACTGCATCTGTGAAAGAATCTCATTCACATATAAGGGTGCAAAACCTCATCTATTATGGAGACGTATGATTATATAATAAGAGTAATGTGTGCTATTATTTATATACCAAGAAAGAGGGTCTTTAATCTTTATCCTGTACCCTCTCATCAAAGCACACAGTTGTTTGCACATTTTCGTCCACAAACAGGAAATTTGTCAGAAGTCAGTGGACTTCTATGTCCGATTTGGTTTCACCTACAATCCAATAGTAAGGCCCATAAATGCATCCTAGAGACCCGTGTGGCTTCAATTTGCAACCATTGTAGCCAATAAATTAATTTTGAAATTATTCAATCTTTCCCCCATTTTTTCCTCTACCAAAACCTTGAAGGAAAAAAACACCCTTAATTTGGAGAGAAAAGGTAAAAATGTGACAGGGTGTTCCATTTCTAATTTTAAAGTCAATGACCTATTTTCGCACAAAAGACGTAAAACAGATATCGGACACTCTACAGAAGCATTTTGCAATCAATTTACCCGAGAATAAACTTCCATTTTAATTTAAATCTATTAGAATCTTTTCATATTCTTTTTTATATTTTATAAATTATATTATAAAGTTCTAAAGAAAAAAACTTTATTTTTTATTTTCAGGCATGCGATCTGTATTTTCGCGGAATAATATTGATTTAAAATTGATACTATGACCCTATCAGTAAAAAAGAAAGATATTCAATACATAACAATCTATAGAGTTCTTCTCAAATACAAATCTTATACAAAACGTGCACCCCCACAATGACGTGTCTTAAATACCGTACCAAGTTGAACTTGTATCACGTTTCTTGTGCGTGCGTATCAGATCTAGCTAGTCCAATAAATTCAACTCCAAGACACCAACAAACAAAGCCAGTCTCCAGTATCCAAGAAGGAATTGGTTGTCACGATCTTTGCTTTGTTGTTCGCTTTTAAGTCTGCTGCTGCTTTCACACTTAAACACCGGTTCCATTACTGCAGCTGCATTAGGAAAATTCGAAAAAAGGAAGAAAAAAAAAAGAGCTGCGAGAGATTCAACTCCCTGCTCCTAACTTTTCCAAAAAAGGCATAGACCTTAGAAAAATAATGGAGTTATTCAGTTGGGTAAGGCTTTTCCATCAACGTCTCCATCACTTTAATTAATGTCAAGCTCTCCTTCACACAACGTCTCCATCGATCACTTTAATATCAAGCTTTCCTTCACAGGTGTCTGAGATTTTGGGTATGACTTCTTTCTTTTCAAATTTGTAGTACGATTTAAATGTGAATATTAATTAGTGGTGTCATGTTGAATGAACTTCAATGTACCTAAAACAATGGGGTTTTTTCATAACCCACCTTCAAACGGGGTCACTCTACGTAAATTATTTTTTATTTTTTATTTATACATAAATTATTTTAAAATAATTTTACATTGCGATCAACCATCCCGTGTCACTTTTAAATTCAACATTGTCAAGTTTGCAAAAAATAATTAGTTGTCAAATATCAAGTATGTTTTAGACCCTCTCCAACCGGACGCTAAAACACCAAGTTAGCGTCCGGTTCTGACTCCAACCGAGCGCCATCAGCCCTGCTAAAATAGTGGGTTGCTACAGTGTTGCGCCAGAAATGGCACAACACTGTAGCGATGACGCAATAATTTTTTTTGGTAAAAACTTGATATGGAAGGTCTTTTATGAGAAGAAATACAGAAACAAACTTTTTTTCCTTTTGTTATTTATATTTGTATTAATAATATATATTATTTTATATTAACTATTATAATGAAATTAGAGTATAAAATAATTATTAAAATAAAATTCAACAATGGAAAAAATAGATAATTTAATCCAAACAGTTAAAATTAATTATATGTAATTTTTAAGAGGGTAATATTTTAATTTGATTTAGCATTTGTTTTTAAGATTTTTATTTTATTCATAAAATATATTATTGTAATTACTTATATGTAATGTATTATATAATTATATAATTTGTTAAATATTTTAAATAGATAAAAATGTTAAAAGATAAGAATAATAAAAGGAATATTTTTTTTGGTGTAATATTTGGTGTAGTGGGTTGGAGATGGAATAGTGATTTGGTGTAAAAACTACACCAACTTGGTGTAAAAACTATATCATTTTGGGTTTTTTGGTTGGAGATGCTCTGAGAGAGATTTTCTTTATTGAATGTTAGGCGTGGTAAATTTGCCAAAAAAATTAAACGTAAATATGGACATAAATGATTGATTATAATAAAAAATTCTTAAAATATGGTTTATATATAAATTAAAAATAAAATGTGATTTCTACAGATGGACGCTATTTTTAAGGTGTTTTCCAAGAAAAAAGCTTAAAAATATAGTTAGAGTTGAGATATATTATTTGTATTAAATAATGTCAAAAACAAAAAAAGTGAAAATTGTGATACAATAATTAAAAGGACTATTTAAAAAGGAAATGTAATTATAAAAAGAACAACTATAATCACATTTATTTACTAAAAGTTTGTTATGCAATCAACCAATGTTGCCCTTGGTTGATGACATTGACATAGCAAAAATCGATCTCTTTTGTAAATAAATTTGAATTTTTGTATGTAATTTAATAATACACATCCATAAGAGAGTGAGAGAGAGAGTGTGTGTGTATGAGTTGTTCTTTTCTGTTGATTTTAGATTTTACGGTATTTATCCTCTAATAAAATATTTTATGATATTATACGGAAAAAATATAGATTGTGGAATTTAACCCATACAAGTTAAGAGCTCTTTGGTACATACCAGTCCTTCAAATTATTGAAATTGTTATTAGTCTCTTCAAGTCTTAAATCTTCTTATTGCTGCTCACGATTACCGGGATTAATTCGAATGATTTTCAGGAATATGGGGGCCTGATAACAACTTAAATTAATGATTTGAGAGACTAGTTTAGAAAAATTATAAGATTTGGGAGGGCCGACCAGCAATTTTAATGGTTTGAAAACTAGTTGCAAAATACTAAAGAATTAATTTCCCGTTTGGATGAGGTATTTTGCCCCGAAAATTAGAAGAAAAGCTGTCAAAATGACAGCTTTTTGACAGTTTTCCCCTAAAATTGTCTCTTTAAAAGGCGATTCTGAGGGAAATCTGTCATTTTGACAGCTTTCCTCCCAATTTTCAGGACAAAATACCCCCATCCAAAAGGGACTAATATTAAAAGTCTCCAAAAGACTGGCCCCATTATTTTCTCCGCACCGGTTTTTGGATCCCATCGACAAACCTCCTCTGAGCGAACAACCCTTGTGGTCTCCCCCCCGCAAAACGTGGCCATGATTGGTCAGTTTGGGTCCGAACCCAGCCTGATCGTGGTTGGTTCGACAAATATGTTGCTACAGTGATAGTGACCGGAGATGAAATGCGTACGGATTGGTCGCCTTCTCTTTTTCAGTTTGTGCTTTTGGCTAAGTCGCATACTTTTGCTCCCTTTTCTTCAAGCATGAAGCTAAAACAATGATGACGTCTCGTTGAGTTTTTTTATTTTTAATTAATTTATCCGATTTTATGATGGACAAATCTTGGAGAATATTTGGGAACTATGAATTATAATCTACTTGGGTTAATAATCTAAAGTGTTGGGTGAATTTAGTTGATTGTTATCTGTTTTTAAATTTTATATGTTTGGCAAATGAGAGGATCGTAATCTACGTTTTTTTTGTCAAAATGAGTAAAAACAACTTGGTGGTGGTGGTTGTAAGACGTTTTTCATTTAGTATAATAATTAATATTTATTTATTAATTATGGAAAAAGATTATGATCCATTTAGTGGGAAGTTGCCAATGATCAAGGTAACTAACCCATGTTCTCTCCCACCTTTAGGAAACCACCCACATACTCATATCCATTGGTAACTACTCTATGATGGCTAGAGTAGTATAAATAAGTGATAGTAATTTCTGAAAAAGGTCACCAAATCTACTCTCCATAAATTTCTACACCATCTAAAAGTGAGCAGAGAGGGTTTGGAACCAAATTCCAGATTAGCAATCTTTTGGGGCTTTCTCAAAGATAATTTAAGGTTTCAAATAGCAATGGCTGGAGGTACAATAATTGATCTCTTTTATTGCTTCCGCTTTATTATTGTATGTTCATATAGTAATTAGAATATACATAAAGATATGATATGATTTACATTTGGTATCAGAGCAATAATTACCTCTGTCTTGTTTGTTATGAAAATCGCATATGAACTTTAGTATCTTTACTATACTGGAACATAATGTATATCGATTATTCGTTTTACTATATCGATTTTAGCAACTTTTAAATGCAAATATATTCGTTTTGTGTTGCTTCTGCTAGAAATATGTTTGTGTTCCATTATATATGTTTGCATTACTATTTGTTGACATGTGTAATGGCTGGAAATAACTAGTTAAAAATGTTATGGCCATTAGAATTGTACAGGAACAAAATATTAAAGAAATATGTTGAGTGATTCGTTAATTTTAGTAATTAGAGAGTAGCCACAGCATCTCTAGTTATTTAAAATTTTCTTATGAAATCACATGTAGAAACTAGACATTAATTTGTAATTAATCATATGTAATATGATGAAATATGCCCACAGGAAATTTTATTATATTTATGTGATTAATTAGGGTGAAATATTGAATTATGTTCCTTAATCTACCCACAGGAATTAAGGGAAGAATATGATTTGATAGTTTCATCATATGGTTATTTTTATGAATCTAATTTGAGTAGGACTTTAGCCCACAGGCAGGTTTTATGTCACTAGATTCATATTTTTATTCATGATTTGCATTGGTAAAGCATGATAAAGTTTAAGTCTCAATTCAGTTTATAAGCATGTATATGTTTTTGTTTGTATTGCAGCAATTTTACCTGGGAACATTTCTGATGTCAATTGTGACATTCCTGAATTAAAGGGCGATAACTATAAGGTGTGGAAAGAAAGAGTGCTTCTGCAATTGGGATGGATGGATATCGACTATGCTATTCGGAAAGACGAACCACCAGGCATAACTGAGACTAGCACTCCTGATGCAGTTGATCTTTATGAAAAGTGGGAGCGATCTAATCGCCTATCAGTTATGTTCATAAAGACCAAAATTTGTGCTAGCATTCGGGGTTTTGTCGATAAGCATACTAAGGTTAAAGATCTCCTTGATGTCATTGATGAGCAGTTTGCAACTTCAGACAAAGCTCTTGCTAGCACCTTAATTATGAAGTTTTCATCCATGAGGCACAATGAGTTTAAGTGTGTGCATGATTATATCATGCGCATGAGGGATATTGCGGCCCAACTTAAGGATTTGGAAGTTACCATGTCTGACTCTTTCCTAGTGCATTTCATTTTGTGCACTCTTCCCCCACAATATGGTCCTTTTAAGATCTCTTATAACACACATAAGGATAAATGGTCAATTAATGAACTTATGACCATGTGTGTTCAAGAGGAGGGCAGACTGAGGATGGAAGAGGGCGAAAAGGTGAACCTTACTACTGCTTCTTCTTCAAAGAAGAGAAAGGATCACATTGAGGAAAAGGGAAAGGGAAAGATTACAACTAAGCAAGGCATAAAGAAGGAGTCTGCGTGTTTCTTTTGTAAAAAGAAGGGACACATGAAGAAATACTGCATTAAGTTTAAGACCTGGCTTGAGAAGAAAAGTAATTTTCTAGCGTTTGTTTATGAATCTAACATGGTTAATGTTAATCATAATACATGGTGGATTGACTCTGGTACTACAATTTATGTTTCGAATACCTTGCAGGGTATGACAAACCTAAGGAAACCAATAGGAAGTGAACACTACATCTATTCGGGCAGTCAGATGAGTTCACATGTGGAGGCCATTGGGACATGCAGTTTAATTTTAAGTAGTGGTTTTAGTTTGCATTTAGAAAAGACGTTTTATGTACCTGTTAAGTAGTGGTTTTAGTTTGCATTTAGAAAAGACGTTTTATGTACCTGGTTTCACTAGAAACTTGATTTCAGTTTCAAGACTTGTACTTGCATTTAGAAAAGACGTTTTATGTACCTGGTTTCACTAGAAACTTGATTTCAGTTTCAAGACTTGTACCTTTAGGAATTTCTTTTAATTTTTCAGATTTTGGTTTCAGTATTCTCAGAAATTCTGAAGTTATTGGTTATAGTATTCTGTCTGATGGTTTATATCGTCTTTGTCTGCAAAATGATATCGCTTATAGTTCTATGCATGTTAGTACAAGATTAAAAAGATGTATTATGAATGAGGACTCCTCTATTTTGTGGCACCGGAGATTGGGACACATCTCCATTGAGAGAGTAAAGAGATTGGTAAAGGATGGGGTACTTGGTACTTTAGACTTTACCGATTTTGATACTTGTGTTAGTTGCATTAAGGGAAAGCAAACTAACAAATATAAAATTGGTGCCAAAAGGAGTTCAAACCTATTAGAGATCATACACACGGATATTTGTTGTCCGGACATGAACGCTAATGAACCGAAATACTTTATCACCTTCATAGATGATTATTCACGATATATGTGCCTTTACTTACTTCGTTCCAAAGACGAAGCTTTGGATGCCTTCAAATTGTTTAAGGCTGAAGTAGAGAAACAATGTGATAAGCACATTAAGATTGTGAGATCAGATAGAGGTGGAGAGTACTACGGTAGATATACTGAGAACGGACAAGCACCAGGTCTATATGCGAGATTTCTTCAAGAGCATGGGATTGTTGCCCAATACACCATGTTTGGTTCTCCGGACCAGAATGGTGTAGCAGAAAGAAGAAATCAAACTTTCATTGGATATGCCGAAAGGTCTAAGGGTTATAGATTCTATTGTCCGTCTCATAGTACCAGGATTGTGGAATCAAGAAACGCTAAATTTCTTGAAAATGACTTGATTAGTGGGAGTGATCAATTTCGGGACATTGTTCCTTAAAAGGATCATGATCAACTTCCATATCAACTTCCATCTACAATTTCAAGTGACAAGTTGATTGTCATTCACGCACCTCAAGCTAAATCGCGTGTTAGACAACCAACTATTGAGGTTCCACCAGTTGACAACAATCTAATAGATCATAATGCTAATGAGGAACAAACAGTTCATCATGAGGATGAACATATTCCATTGAGGAGATCTACTAGACCAAGGAAACCAACTATTTCTGGTGACTATTTAGTGTATCTATAAGAATCGGATTGTAATATTGGAGCCGATAATGATCCTATGTCATTTTCACAAGCCATAAGTTCTACAGATTCAAACTTATGGATGAATGCCATGAAAGATGAGATGGACTCTATGGCATCTAATCGAGTTTGGGACCTCGTAGAGTTGCCAAATGGTATAAAAGCCATTGGATGCAAGTGGGTCTTTAAGACAAAGAAAGACTCACAAGGCAACATCGAGAGATATAAGGCTAGACTCGTTGCCAAAGGGTTCACTCAAAAGGAATGAATCGATTACATAGAGACTTTCTCTCTTGTATCAAAGAAAGATTCCTTCCGAGTGGTGATGGCATTAGTAGCTCATTTTGATTTTGAGCTACATCAGATGGATGTGAAAACGACATTTCTCAATGGTGATTTAGAGGAAGAGGTTTATATGAGACAACCTGAAGGATTCTTCTCTAAAGAGGGTGAACATTTTGTTTGTAAGCTTAATAAATCCATATACGGGTTGAAACAAGCTTCCCGGCAATGGTATATGAAATTCCATAAAGTGATTACTTCATTTGGTTTCGAAGAAAATATTATGGATCAATGTATATACCTTAAGATCAGTGGGAGCAAGATTTGTTTCCTTGTGTTGTATGTGGATGATGTTTTACTAGCAACCAATGATAAGGGGTTGCTATATGAGGTGAAACAATTTCTTTCAAGTAACTTTGATATGAAAGATATGGGCGAGGCGTCTTATGTCATTAGCATAAAGATCCATAGAGATAGATCTCAAGGCATATTGGGTTTGTCTCAAGAGGCCTATATCAACAAAGTCTTAGAAAGATTCGGTATGAAAGATTGTTCACCAAGTGTAGCACCCATTGTGAAAGGTGACCGGTTTAGCTTGGACCAATGCCCCAGGAATGACATTGAAAGGGAACAAATGAAAAATGTTCCATATGTTTCAGCTGTTGGTAGCATTATGTATGCTCAGGTCTGTACTAGACCCGACATTGCATATGCCGTTGGAGTATTAGGCAGATATCAAAGTAACCCAAGCATCGATCAGTGGAAGGCTGCGAAGAAAGTGCTGAGGTACCTTAAGGGTACTAAAGATTACATGCTTATGTATAAGCGGACTGACAGTCTTGAAGTGGTAGGCTACTCTGATTCTGACTTCGGTGGCTGCAATGATTCACGTAAATCCACATCAGGATATGTGTTCATGCTAGCTGACAGGTCCATATCTTGGAGGAGTGCGAAGGAGACCTTGACGGCCACTTCTACGATGGAGGCTGAGTTCGTTTCTTGTTTTGAGGCTACCTCACATGGTCTATGGCTGAAAAGTTTCATATATGGGCTAAGAGTTGTTGGCTCTATTAGTCGATCGATAAGAATGTATTATGATAATTCAGCTGCTGTCTTTATGGCTAAGAATAATAAGAGTGGAAGTCGAAGTAAACACATCGACATAAAATATCTAGCCGTAAAAGAACGTGTGCAGGAAAAGAAAGTGATCATTGAGCACATTAGCACTGAATTAATGATAGCTGATCCCTTGACTAAAGGCATGCACGTTAAAGGATTCAAGGATCATGTAATCAGGATGGGACTTGGTTCCATTATGTAGTACATTCATTATGTTTTGTCTGAAACTTTCATTTAGTTGGATAATTTCTCATTTGGAATTATGTACGTACATATTTTAATTATTTTATTGAGAAATATCATTATAGTTTGACCTAGAGTGAGCATATGGTTTACTCATTAAGTTAAGTGTGAGTGGTGAAAGACTAAGTATATTGTGATACATGGAAGATTAATTCTTGCCCTTAAAGAGAATTAGTCGCTATGATTCATATATGGAGTCTCTCTCGTTAAATGGATCAAGTGGGAGAATGTAAGACGTTTTTCATTTAGTATAATAATTAATATTTATTTATTAATTATGGAAAAAGATTATGATCCATTTAGTGGGAAGTTGCCAATGATCAAGGTAACTAACCCATGTTCTCTCCCACCTTTAAGAAACCACCTACATACTCATATCTATTGGTAACTACTCTATGATGGCTAGAGTAGTATAAATAAGTGATAGTAATTTCTGAAAAAGGTCACCAAATCTACTCTTCATAAATTTCTACACCATCTAAAAGTGAGCAGTGAGGGTTTGGAACCAAAGTTCAGATTAGCAATCTTTTGGGGCTTTCTCAAAGATAATTTAAGGTTTCAAATAGCAATGGCTGGAGGTACAATAATCGATCTTTTTTATTGCTTCCGCTTTATTATTGTATGTTCATATAGTAATTAGAATATACATAAAGATATGATATGATTTACAGTGGTGACTTAATAATTGAGCTTGGGAATTTGTGAGATCTTGATGGTAATTATGTCTTTTACTTTGTCAAACTTCGTGGAGTATATAATCTCTAGAAAATAAGGGGTTGTTTGGTAATTCGAAAGTGAATTGAAAATATATGTAAGTTGCGTTTTTGTGCAAATAACTTTCACATCCACGTCACCATGAAAGTGAAATACAATGTTTGCTTTAAAAAATTACTATTAAAAGTGCGGTGTGAAAATGATGTGGCAATATCAAATTAGTTAATAAATATAGTTAAAATCATTTAATTAAACGTGGTTCCTATTTTTGTCACTTTCTTGTGACTTCACCACTTTTCTTAGGGAAGTCAAAATTGTATTAATCTATGTGTATGGCGTCTCGCATTTTACTTTCATAACCACTTGCATATAAACAAACATAAGATGTGAAAAATAAATTGCTTTATCACTTTTATTTTTCGCTTGCATGCAAACAAATACCTAACAAAGATACTCATACAACAACACCTTTATTTCAAAATGTTTAGTGTCAGTTACATGGATCATATTCTTCCATTCCATTCTATTATAGATCATCTCTTCCACTTGTCAATCAACGGTATTTATACAACAATAGTACTTATAATCCAAAATAATCCACTTGCCTAGCACCTAAAACTTTTTGTGGATCATATTATCTATAAAATAGATAATAATCCACTTCTACCATTTGCCAAACATGTGCTAAATCTTTTTAAAGTTTTAATGCACTCCTCAATAATAAAATAAATGAACAAAATAAATGAACGGGCATGCGATTATTGATTATTTATAATAAATTTCTAGTTTATTCTCATCCATCCATGCATTGTAACTAGGGGTGCTAAACCGTATCCGTATCCGAGAAAATATCTGTAACCGTATCCGTTAGGATACTGATATGGTTACTCATATCTATAACCGATAGGATATGGTAACGGATATGATTTTGTAGTGAAATATCTGTATCTGTATCCGAAATATCTGAATACATATTAGTCATACTCTTACGATAGTTTCGATTCTTAGATTATGGATTTGTGATTAATTTTGATGATCAATATGTCTAATCTTAACTTTTCAATTGTAATGAACATATTAACAAACTCTTTTGTATCACATGATGATCAATATGTCTAATCTTAACTTTTCAATTGTAATGAACATATTAACAAACTCTTTTGTATCACAGGTTAGATTCTGAGCCCTTTTTCTTATTCTATAGAAAAGAATACAATAGAGACATGAACTATGTTTTTCTCCATACTATCTAGTTTTCTCATATCCGTTTTGTATCTGCATGCATATCCGCATGTATATCTGTAACCGTATCCGATTTTAGCGGATATGGTTATGAATTTTTCTTACCGAGGTATATCCGTATCCGAAATGGGTAAGCGGATATGGATATGTTAAGCATCATATCCGAGCCGTATCTGAACCGAGTGCACTCCTAATTGTAACATTGCAAACTACATAGCAACTCCAAAAAATTTCATATTTCTTAAATTTAGTCTCTCTAGCCATTAGGCTAAAACTATGAAGCTACGATGGGAGTTGAGTTTTATTTTTATATTCTAACATGCTCTCTCCGGTTGAATGCCCTTTTAGTCGGCCGAAACTTGGACTTAGGTAGCGATGCCAATTTTTAAAAAATCCGCTTGAAATTCGTAGTCGGTGGGATTTGAACCTGGTTGCTCTGATACCATCTAAAATTTAATCCCTCTAATCATTGCACCAAGACCTCAAAATTATAATGGGAGTTGAGATTTATATTTTTATATTCTAACACTATGTTTTATTTTATGATCAATCCTTGAATATTTTCATTTTCAACCAAAGAAGATGCTTGGTGTCTGATGGGATAATGAGGGATTAGGGACAACTTTGGGATTTCATCCAAAGTCCTAAAATGAAGCCGCCTACCAAACTTATTTAAGGTACAAAGTTAAGGCTGCAAAAAGATGATTAACTTCTCAAGAAACGTGAACAAAAGGGCGTAATCCACCGATAAAGAATTATATAAAATCCAGAGCTAAATTGTTTTATTATGTGACCTACGAGGCTATTCAAAAGTTAATATTGTTCACATTTTGAATTAGGCAAAAGGAAATTTTAACAAATTATTTTGTGCTTTGCTTGTTTTTCATCGAGATATTATTCACTTTGAAAAAGTTGGTAATGCCCATTAACTATTTCATGATTGATGATTGTCATGTTACATGGTCATTTTTGAAATTGATAAAAGTTTTATTAAAATGGTTAAACATTGAGATATTTGGTTAAATTTCACTTAAAAGTTGAATCGCATGAATCAATCTATACAATATACTAAAGTAATACCCTAAAATGCAACGTATCAAAATTCTAGAGCAATTGACACGTGTCCAAATTTAAGAGCATAAACCA